AGCATTTAAAAGGAGGGCCTCATGAGAAGTCATCAAGTCACAGGGTGCTTGCTGGGAAGGCACTGCCGCTGGTCTCCTGCAGTGGTACTCTTTGTGAGCGGGACTATGGACTCATCCACTTTGCACGTTTATAATCCGCTGCCACCCTGTGACGCATCCAGTGGAGGAAAACCAGAGTAAGAACAGAGCAGAGATCACTCCAGCAGCCTTGGAGGGAATGTAGCTGTTAAGCAGAGGCCACATTACCCTAACAGTCCCAGTCTTACCATCTGATCTCTTCAGGAGCTCCTGTGGTTTCGAGGAAAGCAAGTTGCTGCAGGGGAGGCTGGACGTATCTCCACATCTGGCCTCAGGGATGACTTGCAGGATGGCCTTGGGAAATTCTACCGGTCAGGCTGTTGTGTTGGAAAATGTACCACCAACTTCAGAAGAGCGGCAGGGGTATGAGAGAGCAGCAGGCAGCCCGTGCTCACACATCTGCCTCCACAGTACGTCTGAGACAGACATGGAACTCTGGGTGTCCCTGACCTTGATCTGAGGTGGGGCCGTTGTAAGTGAGCATGTCGGCCCCACCTTCCAGCTGTGCTCATGCAGGTGTCCAAGCTGACAGCCCTCATCACACCTGGAGCCCTTAGTGATCAGGAGAACCTGGAGGGCGGAGTAGAGCTGGCACAGTCAGGCATCCACAGCTCCTAGACTGACTTACCAGCTGCCACCAGCAGATGAGTTCTGTATTCCGTCTTGTCATCTTCTGACCCATGGCTTACTAGTTTGTGAAATGTCTCTTTGTACAGTTCCTGCCCCACAGCCTCCCTTCCACCCGTCCTCTAGAATCCTTGACTGACGCTGTGAAACATGGTTCCACTGGGATGCCTGGCTGGTGGAATTCTGGGAGCTTGAAGTTGGGTGCCTTGAGGTCCATCCTAACCCAGCCCAGTTAGCCATGGTAGGCCAGGGAAAGGAAGCAAGCCGCCATATGGTGAGTATCGGCAGCTCCAAGGTTGTAGCAGAGGGCAGTGGCCTCAGGAGATGCTTACAGAGTGCAGAATGGTGCTGTCAGAAGAAAGGGAAACTGGAAGACATGGGTCTTGCATCTCAGTCAAGCCAGGCAGAAACAGGGAGTCTTAATGTAATATTTCTCATGATATATCAAGAGAACAATGGGGGTGGGTGAGGGAGACCCTGGAGCACATGTGCCTCACTCAATCTCGGCAGCTTACTGAGATGGCAAAGAGGCAGGCCTGCATATAAGGTGAGGTAAGGGCCCCTCTGAGAGCCATAGCCAGCCGGCTTTGACCTACCATTCCTGGGACATGTATCTCTATGTAATCAGAACCACAAAAAGTCACACGGCAGCTGCCACTGGCAACAAGCCATACTTTCACAGCTGTGGCACACTAGAGACATACATCTGGTTTGCTGATAAAGAGGAATATTTGGAATTTCAAAGCTTCCGTGTCTGGAATATGTCAGAAGGACACAGCACACAGTAAAACTTCACGAATATAATGGTTTGTTAAAAGTAATTTACAATCCATAAATCAGGAAGACGGAGGGAGGGCTCAAGTGGCATACAAACAGGAACAATGGTGTTATCTACATTTCAGACCATGGAAATGAGAACCAATTCCCCAACTCTACGTCAGGTGCTTCGGCTCGGCCTCCCTTTGCGCCAATCCAAGAGGACTCAGACACACATCTTGAACTAATCACAGAGCTCTCTCCAGGCTTTCAGTCAGCCAACCTAACAGCGCTCAGTGCAATGTGTGACTGAGCAAGTGCGTGCTTACCACACAGAAGAAAGGGAGCCAGAGGCAGAGGGGTGGGAAGGGTGTGACTCCTAGAGTCTTGGGTGGGCACCTGAGTCACCTGTGTGAAGCCAGGCTTAATGTATTCATAAATGCCATACGTAAACATACCAATACACATGACACTCACAAAATTCCCTCCCTGTTCTGTAAAGGGGATAGGAAGAAAACCTGGTATCTCAGAAATGAGTGGCACAGTGTTTCAACCTGACATAGCGAGAATCATCTGAGAGGAAGGAATCTCCAAAGGCCAAGGCAGGGTGCTTGTAGCTGGGCGCGGCAGAGACTCAGTAGGCAGAGGCAGGTAGATTTCTGAGTTCAAAGCCAGCCTGGTCTACAGAGCTAGTTCCAGGACAGCCAGGGCTACACTAAGAAACCCTGTCTCAAAAAACCCTGGAGGTAGGGGTGAGGGCGGGGGTAAGACGGCAGACAAGCAGGGCATTTTCCTAACTGGTGATTGCTGTGTGAGGGCCCAGCCCATTGTGAGCAGTGCCAAGGGCTGGTGCTGTAAGAAAGCAGGCAATGCAAGCCAGTAAGCAGCACTCCTTTATGGCCTGTACCTCTAGGTTCCCATCCTGTTTGAGCCTCTGCGTCCTCTCCTCAGTTCAGGATATGTAAGCCAGATAAACCCTTATCTCCATCTCCCCAAGTTGCTTTTCATCATCATGTTTCATCACAGCAATAGACACACACCCACAGTCCGTCTCAGAAATGAGTGGCACACTTCCATACTTATAGCTCTCTGGTGGTTTGAATGTGAGTGTCTCCCACAGGTTCATGTATTTGCATGTCCCTGAACCCTGGCTAGGATGGGTGGTGAAGTTTTCTGAGTCAGGTTAGTAAAAGCAGGAGGCATCTGCTTCTTAAAATACGGGACAGTGATGCAAGGCTTGAGAGCACACTGACAGCAAGCACCAGTGGAATGAAGTGGAGCTCCAGAGACATAACCTGAGACATGGGGAGCTGCAAACAGCCTAACAAGCATTAGAAGGATCAAAGCAGCCTACTGAACTGTGAGAACACAGCAGGACTACAAGCAAGGAGAACAACACCTGAACAAGGCGTTATAAAGAGAAAGAAGAACACGAATTCCAGGGAGCTTCACCAGAGCACATAGTCAAATGGGAGACTTTGCAAGCTCTCAGCAGGCATGGAAACTATTTACACACTGAACAAAAAGACAAGGAATAAAAAGAGCAAAGAATCCTACAGGAGCTGGGTGGTGGTGGCTCACACCTTTAATCCTAGCACTTGGGAGGCAGAAGCAGGCAGATCTGAGTTTGAGACCAGCCTGGTTTACAGAGTGAGTTCTGGGACAGCCAGGGCTATACAGAGAAAGCCTGTCTCAAAACAAAAGATAAAAACCCAATCCACCCCAACCCAACCAACCAAATAAACAAAACAAAAACCCAAAACAAAACCAAGAAGAATCCTACAGGACTCAAGAGTAGCATGATGTACATTAAAACATGCAGCATAGGGTCCTACCGTGTGAGGGAGGGGCTCTGACAGGAAGTGACTGAAACCTCAAAGCTGTAGGGAAAGTGAGTTCCTAGTTCATGACAGAGAACCCCAAGTAGGTGAAGTGGTCTTAACTGAGATGCCTTATAACCAAACTGTTCAAAGAGAGAATCAAAGAGAACTGTGGAGGCATCGAGAGAAAGAATACATACCAAGGACCACCCTCCCCTCTATAAGACTGCTGAAGTCCTTGGCAGAAACTGCAGGCCAGAGGACAGTGGGATGGCATTCTGAAAGTACTAAACAGAACAAAACAATAAGCCCCAAGATACTAGCTTCTTGGTTCTAATGTCATTTCTGTTGCTGTGATACAAGACCCTGACAAAAGCTGGGCAAAGGATGTGAATACATTTTTCTCCAAAGCAGATATAAAATGGCCAAGAGTGTGGAATCAAAGCCACAACGAGGCTTCACCTCACACCTGTCTGCATGGCTACTGCCAAGACATGGGAAAGTAACAAGTAATGAAAGGGTTTGTTTGTATTGTGTGGGCTGGATGAAAACTGGTACAGCCATTATGCAAAACAGCGGGGAAGTTCCTCAGAAAGCTAACAATAGAAATGCCACAGGGTACAGTATACCCACTGCTAGAACTGAGGTTGGGGTGCCAGAGACATGGCATTCCCATATTCACTGCAGCAGCACTCACAAGAGCCTGACTGTCCAAGAATGGGAGAATGGATACAGAGAACAGTGTCCAAATGCACTTAGCCTTCTCAGAGAGAAGAGTCCTATCATTTGTGACCATGTGAATGAGATGGATGGCACCATACTCAGTAAAATAAGCGAGACACAGAGACACAGTAGGCCTCACCTTTCCATGATCTCTAAAATAAACTCAACAGCAGAAAAGGACAGTGCTTCTCAAGGGCCACGGGCAGTGATGTTCAAGGGTACCAACAGCAATGGAGGGTAGTTCTGGCATTGTACTTCAAAGCATGGGGACCACAGCTAACAGCTGTGTCATGTACTTAAACACACCTGACATTAAGTAACTTTACCTGAATCCAAGCCACAGTAATAAGGGATGAGAGTGGACTTGAAACATAGAGGATATGTCATGACCTTAATGACGGTGACAGTTTCGTGAGGGCATGCTTACCCCCAAACTTATCAAACTGTCCACACTGATACTGCATAGCTGTTTGTGTGTCAACCACACAAAGTGGTTTAAATGAGATGGGGAGATGAGTAACAATGAAGAGCACTTGCTGCTCCTCCAGACGACCCAGGTTCACAGCCCTCACACAGCAGCTTACAACACACATACAAGGGAAACACTACACACATAAACAAGCCACAATCCCTTCAACTGTATTAAGGTAGAATGGGATCCAGGCATACAGTGCTATCACGTGGTGAAAAGGGGTCTGCTTCTTAATGTGGAGCAAGACTAACGCATTACAAATGGAGGAACCCCTCGGACACTGTCCAGCCTAGAGTCAACACAGAGGCGGATCCTCTACATGCAGCCGTCCCCTCCGCTAGGACATGACCACGGCTCCTTATATCCAACATGGTTTTCTTTTGTTTTCAGAAACATGATAAAGGGAAGAGTCTGGTGATGAACCAAGTATGAACAATCTTACACTGTGTCAGTAGTTTCTGGCCAACATCCCATACAGACGCAAGCCAGCCTCAGTATCACAGGCAGTGACACACTACAGAAAATAGCTTAAAAGTTGTTTATTTTTACATAAAATGTACATCTTTACTTTACAGATGAAGTTGCCCCTTGAGAAGTGATTCTATATATGTCTGTTGTTGTTTGAGACAGGTTCTTCAGCCCTGGTACTTGCTATGAGGACCAGGCTGACTGAGAACTGTCAGCGATCTGCTTGCTTCTGCATCCAAAGCACTGGGATTAAAGGTGTGTGCCACCGCACCCAGCATATACGTTAGTTCTTAACCTTCACTGTAAGAAGCACACACACACACACACACACACACACACACACACACAGAATTGGGGCCCAGCATGGTGGTATATGCCTTTAATTCCATGGGGGCGTGGGGTGGAGAGGTGAGTCTCTGTGATCTACATAGTGATCTCTCATACATATAGATCTCTAATCTACAAACTGAGTCCCAGGACAGCTAGGGTTACAAGGAGATATGCTGGTGTGTGTGTGTGTGTGTGTGTGTGTGGAGGGGGAAGACATACCGGGGCTGGAGATCTGGCCTGATTCAGAGTGCTTGCTGTCCTCCTCAGAGGAGCTCAGTTTGGTTCCCACAACCCAAATTAGGCAGCTCACAACCACCTGGAGCTCCACTCCAGGACAGCCCTCTTCTGGCCTTCAAAAGCACTTGTACACATGTTCATACACTCACACTTAAATAAAATTTAGAAAAGATAAGTAAAAAAAAATTTTTTCCTTTTTTTTGTGTAAAGCTGAGGAGTGAGCCTAGAGTTTGAACAGGTGCTCTAAATGGAGCTTTACTCCTAACCGCAAATCTATACACACTGCCCACCTGATAGGATCCCAGTTACCTCGGAGGCACACCTCTGGGAGTGGGGGTCTGAGTAGGCTAATCTAGGTGGAAGCCCACCCTGAACAGGGGTGGCACCATCCCGCAGGCTGGGGGCTTGGACTCAATGAGAAGGAGGAAGTGAACCGAGTACCCGTGTCTGTCTCCGCTTCCTGACTGCAGACGCAACGTGACCAGACACCCTGAGCTCTTGCCGCATGATATCCCACTGTGATGTCCCTCCACAGTGTGAGCCCAGGCCACCCTTCCGTATGCTGCTTTTGTCAGGTTTTGTCACAGCAACAAAAACAGCAGCGGGCACTGCTGGCTCACCTCAAGGCTCGGTTCTCAGGGACCTGCATGGAGACCTCCTGACTGTACGTGGTCATCTCAAACACACTGCTACAGGGATGCCCTGTTCAAAACTCTAACAGAAGGAGTGAGTCACATGGGAGCAGCATCCCTCGTCTGCGCCGGCCCGCCGGCCCGCCCGCCCGCCTGGCTGCCAAGGGCACTCTCCACAGAACATGGCTGGGAGAAAAAGCTCTGATTTAGGATTTTTCTACTTCTATTTAGTTACAACTGAAGGTCAGGGTTAGCCAAGTCCACAGCATCCAAGAGAGAAAGCAAACCATAAGGCTGTAGAATAAAGAGGCCTCATGGAAGCCATGCATCCAAGGCCCTCCTTCCTCTGACTGCCTGTGAGCTCGTGCCATCCTTATCTAACACCATCATTTTATCTCTGCTCTTATCTCTCTCTTCTTCCCACCAAGTACTCAGTACCGACCCGAAGTCAGTGGGACTGCTGAGTGGGAGATATCAGGACCTAAGCATCATAGTTTCTTAAGGCATTTCAACTTTTTTTTGAGATAGGGTTGCACAATTTGCTCTGGCTGTCCTAGAACTCACTCTGTAGACCAGGCTGGCCTTGAACACAGATCTGCCTCCCAAGTGCTGGGATTAAAGGCGTGCACCACCATGTGCCCAGCTTTTAACTTTAAACCAGCATTTCAGAAGATTAAAAAGGCCCTCAATTTATGATCGCAACCCTCCCCTCATGGCTTAATCCCCATCTTCTCTCCCCCTTTCCTCTGACCTGCTGTATACATATATATACATTGGAAGTACACAATACAACCCTGGTTCTAAAAATCAGAAAATACAGTATTTACGTCATGACAGAGCACAGCATAATTCCTCCTGTTCTCACAGAGGTGGGGTGGCCTTGAATTCACAAATCACCAATCTCTTAGTCAAATGCTCCCTACCCTTTGGCTACATTCTTAGGATGGCTTTGCCCTGTAAAGACTTAGACGCAAGGCCTGCCCTCTCTCTCAGCAGACTGGCTTCCTCAGCACTCTGGTGTGCCTGTGCGTGCTTCAGTAAGAAGTGGCTGATGAAGAGCTTCAGGCCTTCTCGTAACATCCCCAGCTTTGGGTTGTCAGACACTCTGAAAGGAAATTGCAGACACAGGTCAGGGAGAAGCTTGTCTTCGAGATCTTAGTGCCTGGTGCCTGAAGAAGCAAGACAAAATCTACTTTTCGGCCTTTTTTTTTTTTTTTTTTTTTTTTTTTGATAACTGTATAAAACCCAGGGTCTTGTATAAGATAGGCAAGTGTCTGCTACTGAGATATTCCAACCCTGTGGCTTGCTTATTGAAGAAAATCTCTGTATTTTTAGGCAGAACTTAGCTATAGTATCTAAGCTGGCCTTGAATTCCTGGACTCAAACATCCTTGGCTCAGCCTCTAGAAAAGGTGTAACCACTAGAATGTTACTATACCTGGCCTCTTTTTTTTTAAAGGAGAGGGTAACCCAGGGTGGCATCAACTTTGTGACCCTACAGCCTCAGTCTTTGAGGTGCCAGGATTACTGGCATATGCTGCCATAACTGGTCATACTCAGAATTCATCCATCCATCCATCCATCCATCCATCCATCCATCCATCCACATATATAGCTATCTATCTAATTTGTGGTTTTGCTTTTTTCTGAGACAAGGTTTCTCTGTGTCCTGGCTGTCCTGGAAATTGCTGCTCTGTAGCCCAGGCTGGCCTCGAACTCAAGATTCACCTGCCTAATGCCTCCTGAGTGCTGGGATTAAAGGTGTGTGCTACCATCCAGTTCCAGCTTCTTTCAAAGTAACGATTCTTTGTTAAGAACTTTTGTCAGGTGTGGTGGTGCATGTCTTTCTTTAACCCTAGCACAGGTGAGGCAGAGGCAAGGGCAGGTAGACCCATGAGTTCAAGGCCAGCCTGGTCTTCATAGCAAGGTCCATGCCAGCCAGGGACGCTGTCTCAAAAACAAAACAAAACAAAACAAAACAAAAAAAAATTCCCCCCCCCTTTTTTTTTGAGACAAGGTCTCACTCTGAATCTTAGTCTGACTTGAAATTCACTGGGTATGCCAGATTGGCCTTGAGCTTGTAGCAGTCTTGCATTTCTTCAATCTAGTGCATAAACATTATACCTCAGATTTAGGACTAAAATTGTGTACTAGACACAAACCTGGCTTTATAAACCAACAACAGTGAAATGGGAGTGACCTCCATGCTGGCTCACAATGCAATCTCACTGCCTTTTTCCTATGTGCAATCAGGGAACAGTAGGCACATACCTTGAAAAAATTACAGCCAGGTCATCATCTTCTGTTTCCATCAACAGCGAAGTCAACACTCTCCGTAGGAAGTGAACTCTGGGTTTATCCAATTCACTGAATTCAACTACCTAAGGGTCAGGAGATAGGAAAGCACCATCATGCTGACTCAGTTTTACCATGGTTTGTGGCCCTTCCTGCTCTCTACAACACCGGCTGTCAGAAGCCAACTGCTCGAAATGACACAGAGTACTACTGGCAAGGTAGGCTGGTTCCCAGGGCTGTGAGCTACAGTGCAGTGTCGATCATAGCCACAAGGTATATACACTCTAAACCCAGGGCTGGAGTCCTCTGTCCTCTGAAGTAGTTACTCTTTAGTTACAACCTCACACAGAGAATTAGGTTAGCACACACATGCGTATGTGTTTCCTAGAAAGCATCAAAAACTGAGCAAAGCATCTCATTTTCAGCAGCAGGATAAACATACTACACCTTGACAACCACAGACGCCAACATGGAGAAAACACAAACTCAAGCTGAATTGAAGAGAGCTTCATAGTATGCTTCCTCTAAGACTCTGGGCTTTTCCTCCTCCAACACATCCCACCACAAAGGGGGTTTTTGTCTTGTGTCTGACCTCCACGCCAGCTTAAATGGCATGGCCATTTTTCCTTCTCTTCTCCAGCTACTGAGGTTTTAGAGCTTGCCTGTAGTTCTTCCTTTTTAAAATGCTAATAAACTGCCCTTCACCTTATTTGGAAGAAAAAAAGAAAAAGGAAAAGCTGCAGGAAGACAGGGTATGGTGACAAGGTTCTGCCCAGAGGCCTGAGCAATGCTCACACATGCTCTGCTTGCAGATACAGGAACAGGTGAACGCTAAGAACAAGGATAAGTACGGCATTACCGAGCAGCTTCCCTGAGAAGAGCTGAGGGGATGGAGCTCAGGAACAAGGCCTGGGAGGTGCTCTGGGACGGCTACTCCTAGTTGTCAACTTGACTACATCCCGAATTAACTAAAATTCCAACATGGAGGGTTTGCCGTGAGGGAGTTCTTTGCTTAATTTGAAGTAGAAGATCCACTTGTAACTAGAATCTTGACTACACCTTTTGTTCAAAGCCTATGTAAGGACCAGAAAGGAGGGAGCTTTTGCTTTTTGCCGTCTTGCCCTGCTTGCTAGCACGTCCATCCCTTCAGTGGCATTAGAGCCTACTTCTTTGGGATTCCAGTGTATACTGAGACCAGCTGAGACATCCAGTCTTGTGGACTGAGCAGTTGCTGGCTCCTGGACATTTTGTCCACATACAGCCACTGTTGGATTAGCTGGACTGCAGCCTGTAAGTCATTCTGATAAATCCCCTTTCTATATATCAATTCGTTCTATAAGTCTGTTACTCTGGAGAACCCTAGTGTAAGCCCTACCACACACAACTGGCTCCCGCCTAGATCACGGTCACCAGGAAATTGTGAGCAGAAACTATGATGAAAGGCAGGAAGGCCAAATGCATAGGACGCTGTCCTGCAGATGAGCAATGTCACAGCAGGACGCTGAACTTAGTTAGCATCTTGCCTTGTCTCTATTGTTTATCTTCTTCCGTCTTGTCAAAGGTCAGGAATCCCCAACTCCTGTGCTTCACTGTCTCTCTACTGGTGTCTCAAGGCTTTGAAGTGCAGGGGTGGTGAACTCCAGCCTTATGGGATTCTGCAGTCAACATAGATCCACAACTGCATCTCTATAAAGGAAGTCTGTCCCGGCTAGTTTTGTCAACTTCACATAAGCTAGAGTCATCGGAGAGGAGAGAAGCTCAATTGAGAAACGTCCCCATAAGATGGACTGTAGTGGTGACTGATGGGGAGGCCCAGCTCACTGTGGGTGAGGCCATCTTAGGCTGGTTGTCTGGGTTCTATGAGAAAGCAGCCTGAGCAGAGTACCTTTAGGGCCTCTGCCTCATGTCCTGCCTTCACATTCCTGCCCCGACTACCCATGGTGATGGATTGTTACCTGGAAATATAAGTGAAATTAGCCCCTTCCTCCCCAAGCTGCTTTTAGTCATTTTGTTTTATCACAGCAACAGTAACCCTGAAAACAAAGCTCTACTTCACTCTATGCTCCTAGATGAGCTGTGACCTCAGCACATGCAAGGTCACTCCCCCTGCCACACACACAAAATAAATAAATGTAAAGCAGAACAAAACAAAACAAAACACCAACCCAAACCTATAATTGGATACTAATTCTCTAAGTAAATTTATAGAATGTGTTGACTGAGAATTTTCTGTGATGGCTACTACAATGAAAACACTTCATAGCTGGTATGTGTACGGGAACTTGCCTTTAATCTCAGCACTTGGGAGGCAGAGGCAGGCAGATCTCTGAGTTCAAAGCCAGCCTGGTCTACAGAGCAAGTTCCAGGACAGCCAAGACTACACAGAGAAACCCTGTCACCTCCACCAAAACCCTCAAATTTCAGAATCTTAGAAAATGCATTTAAAAATATACCAAATAAAATAACTTATACTGTCTTAAGCTGCTTATATTAATTTCTTGCATTATACATACCTTTAGAACAGAAAGGGGAAGTGACTTTGTCTTCAACAGGTGTGCCAGCAGATGAACCAGATTTGAGAACTTAGTGTCTGGCAAATTCTCTAAGTCCCGAAATTTGTCCCATATGCTGAACTGGAAAGTCATCTGGTTAACAGTAAAGAAGAAAAAAGTTAAAATGCAACAAATCACTGGAACAACTTACCAGAATGTACTGTAAAGGTACTCTATTTCTTAGTCACTTGTCAGTAACCCAGTTCCTGGGAATAGGAACAACCTCTCTTCCTGACACCATCATAGAAGTCCCTTTTGAAGTCTTGTCCCACACGCCAACACACAGCTTTGAGGAAAGGTTGTCAGTGCCTTAAAACACTAGAGGCATCCAGCCAGAAGGCCACAATTGTTCCAGTCGTGACAGACGAGCTGCCTTGGGCTGGGTCCTTGTTACCTTGCCCTACGGTTCCATCTTCTCTCCAGTGCAGGCAGGCCTGGCTGCATGGACGTGACCCGTGAGGGAAGTCCTGGTAATGAGCCAGGCAGATGTACTGGTAGTCTTATAAGTTACCTGGAATCTCCGTTCATAGCCACAGAACTTGCTAGCCAGGAAAGCATAGAAAGGGTTGTAGGTTTTCTCTTGCAGGCAGCAATCCATGAGGATATGAACTATCTCTCTCTCCTGCTGGTCCTTCAGCCCAAGCCTGCAGACAATCACCCAGACTAAGAATATGTTCTTTCAAAAGTTTTAACATCTTATCGATTCTTTGTGAATTTCATATCATGTACCCCAATCCCATTCATTTCCTCATCCTTTTGTACCTGCCTTTGCAATCGCCCTCCAAAAGAAAAGACGATAGAACTCAACCAAACAAACCATCCTGTGGTGGGGGCTGCTGTGTGTCATGGTCTGTCACACACTATATAACCTTTTGTGCAAACATCTTTACTTGCAAACATTCATTGCAACATGCACTGGTGTGCTTCGAGGTCTTTGGCTTCTGCTATACTATCAATATTGGATCCTCACAAGGAGTCCTCTTAGATAATCTGTGGTTGCCCTGTGTCACGAAGATCCTGCAGCTCTGGATCTGCAGGTCTGGCCTCTTCATGTGCTCCAACAGTTCACAGATGGAGCAGATGTTGGAGCGGGCCAACTCAAAGCCCTGCATCTGGGCCTGGAAGGTAGCTGAGTTGGTCAGCCCTCCAGCTCTCCTATGCCCAAAACCACCAGGGCAAGCTCCTAGCACTGCTCTGGCTAGCTCACCCAAGGAACCAGCTGGCAAGGGGCAGGGGCTGAGGGGTGAGTGGTGGGGTCTGCTTTCAATTTTTATGGCAAAATCAGCTCCTCCCTGTCTGAGGAGTCCAGTGGCAAATAAGTTGATCAAGATGATGGCAGCAGCTATATATTGGGCCATAGTCCTGTTTTGTTCCTAGCTTCTTTGGGCCTCAGCTTTTTCAGTAACATGGCCTAATGTGTAAGGCACAACACAACTCCCAAGTTGTATACTAGTTACAAAGCTGAGGACTAGTTTATATTGTTATGCAGCTGTGGCGCTCAGGAACAGTTGAGCTGTACAGAGAGACCTGTCTCAAATCCCCAAAATACATCTACTCCAGGTAAAACTCACAGCAAAATCCATTCTGTTCTTTGTACAGTGTGGACAATCCCACAGTGTCTGGTAGCAACCACCACGGTGGAAACACAGGAAGTTCCACAGCTGCTAAACCACCTTCCTTTCTTTGCAGCAGGTACTCTCCTTGAAACAGAGGCCACCAAGGATGTATTTTCTGAGCCTCTAAGTCTGCTATATAAACATGTCAACAGTCATGAAGTCAAGACTGACTCCTCGTCCTGGGCTTAGAACCACGTGTGCTGGTGTGAGCCTCAGTGCTCAGCCTTCTGTGGAGCTGACTGTCAAGTATCCCAGGCACCAAGAGGACCCACAGCTGCTGTCTACCCAACAGTGGAAGAATATACAGCCTTTGAGATTTTAGCAATGAAAAGCACCTGATTTGTCTTTCTTCTTGTGATGGCGGGGGAGGCATATTAAGAGTAGAACCAACTGCTCTGTGACATGCTAGGCAAACCCTCTGCCACTGAGCCATGTCCCTAACCCCAACTGACTGCCCTCTGACTCCAATGGCTGGAGACAAAGGCTCTAGACTTAGGCGAAAACAGCAACTTTGCTGCCACACAACTTCCCCCCACAACTTCCCCAAACAACAAACAAACCCTGACTGAAGCAGCATGCTGCTCAAGGTGTATGTGGGCCAGCCAAACAACCAGCTTCATTTCAGCTGTACTAATCAATCCATGGGGTTAAATAGCCCCAAGAACAGACAGAAAAGAAAAGAAAGGAAAGGAAAAGAAAAGAAAGGAAAGGAAAAGAAAAGAAAAGAAAAGAAAGGAAAGGAAAAGAAAAGAAAAAAAAAGAAAAGAAAAGAGAAAAGAAAACAAATCTGCAATGCTGGAATGCTGGACTCCAGGGTCGCACACTGCTGAGCTATAGCCCCAGCCTGGCTAATGATTTTCATGAACAGAAGTTGGGTGGGCAGGGAGTCGCTGTTAAGTCTGGTTTGCCTTTTCTTTGTATCTTAGGTGGCCCGGAAGCATGATTCTCCAGCTTTAGCCTCACAAGTGCTAAGGAAACAGGTTGCACCATGATGCCAGCACTGACTAGGAGACTACATTCAGCATACGGTTTTAGAAACAGAAGCAAGCTTGATGTTTTCATATCAACAAGGCCCAGTTCAGAAACCCAATCATCAGACTTGCACATATTTCTAAGTTTGAACCAGATAAAGGAAGGGGTTAATATTCAATTGTTTTAGAAATGCTTTGTAAAGTTTACAACTAACTAAGTTTTGTACCAAGAGTCTGAAAGACAGAGATAACAATTCTCAACAACCAACAACCCTGACAGACTATCAGGTGGCTGGTTACCTAACACAGCCAGCCAAAAACTGTCAAATCTTGGTACCACACAGCGACATTTACCAAGGACATACTAGCAGGGATCAATGTGTTATGATGGTCACATGGGACCTGAAGCCCAGGTAAGAGGGCAGTAACAGGAAAGACTCAGTAGCTCAAATTATCCAAAAGCGGGGGCTGGAGAGATGGCTCAGTGGTTAAATGTACTGAGTGCTCTGCCAGAGGTCCTGAGTTCAATTTCCAGCAATGAGGTAGTGGCTCACAACCATCTGTAATGGGATCTGATACCGTCTTCTGGTGTGTCTGAAGACAGCTGCAGTGTACTCACATATGTAAGATAAATAAATAATCTTTAAAAAAAAAATGATCGAAAAGCTAAAACCGAGATCAACTTCTGTCATGCTTATTAATAAAAATCAAAATGTTCCCAGCAAATGCTTACTTCAGCAGCTTTTCAAAGGCATCCAAGAAGTCCTCACTTGTCATTATAGTGCAGAATATGTTCCTCCTGACATCAGTGTTCATCCTCTGCTTCCTCGCAAGCTCCAGCATCTTAGAGCTTACCTGAAAAGAGAAAGATCAGTGCCCAGACTGTTCCACTATCTCAATGAAAGCTCGCTCCTCAGAGACAGGACACTGTTCTAGCATGAGTCTAAACTTGAATTTCTGAAGAGTAACATTCCCATTTGAACACATGTGACTGAAAACTGTGTGTACATGTATGCATGTAAATACCACGTCTGTATTCTTGGGCAAATCTGCAAAAGGAGAAAAGCTCAGCGGAAGCCAAGAGCCGGATGAGACCTGTGCATCAGATGAAGACCCAAGTTCAGACACAAGCTGCTGCCAGAGCCTGGGAGCCACCGAGGGAGATGAGGGTCCCGGGCAGACAGACAAGGACACCGGAGTTACAATTTGAATCCACAGTAGGGACTAGAACATACACCTCCTGGGAATAACATATTGCTGAGTTCCAACAACAGCTCCTATGAGTTTCATTTTTATACCTCTTTCATTCAATTTCTAGATTTTGTCTGAATTGGGGTTGAAACTTTTAAAAACTCTTAAGCAGAGAAAGTGAATTAATCATAGGCTGACACAAGCTATTTCTATGAAGCTTCCTGATAATCCTCTGTGGTACATTTCAAGAACATTCAGGATCAACAGGGAGCAACTTTAAGCAGAACAGACTTCTGACGCACCAGGGTGCCCATAGCCAGGCAGCCAACAGGGTCTTCTTACCGTGCCTTCAAGTGGCTTCTGCAGGTGTGTGTGGTGACTGTTGTCAATCATGGGAGTCCCACTCCATGCAGACCCCACAATCCACCAGCGACCAGTCTGCTCTGCATTCAAGATGCCATCCCAGGAGATGCGAAGCTGAGTCTCAGAACCTGAGCTAGCATTTCGAACCTGATTACAAGAAAAGGCTTCATGAAGTGTTTCAGCTGATTCACACCTGCACTTCTGTCATGATTTGTTTGACAATGGCAGTTTTGGTGTACAACTATGGCAATGAATCACAGACAACTGATTAGAAAAATGCCAGAAAGAGCCATCACCTCTCAGTGTTCTGTGTGTGAAGTCTATGGGTTCACCATTCAAATGTATGTGACCTGGGATCTGCACCAGTGATGCACTGTGCAACTGAAGACTCAGAACGACCATGATGACCATCTCATGTTGTCAAGACTACAGGCGGAACACCTGAGGACAGGCTCCTGGTTCTAGGTGGGGCCTGGCCTTCTGAGTACCAACAGAGGAAGCCATCATACGGCCTGAGTTTAGCACCTTGGGAGAGAGTCATACTGGGTACTTAACTAATTTGATGGACTCATCACTACTGATGTACAGTCCCCCCCCCATCCCTGCTGCTGCTGCTGCTTCTCTTCGTCCTCCTCTTTCTCCTGCCCCCTCCTCTTCCTCTTGGTTTTTCAAAACAGGGTTTCTCTGTGTAGCCTTGGCTGTCCTGGAACTCATTCTGTAGACCAGGTCAGCCTTGAACTCAGAGATCCTCCTTGCTTCTGCCTCCCGAGGGCTGGGCTTAACAGTGTATGCCACTCATATATAGCAGACGTGCAGCTTGGTCTTCATGTGGGTCCCCCAACAACTGGAGCAGGGGCTGTCCCTGAATCCGCTGCCTGTGGATCCTGTTTCCCTGAAACACCTTGTCTGGCCTCAGTGGGAGAGGATGCGCCTAGTCCTGCAGTGACTTGATTTGCTAGGGTGGGGTGATACTCAGGGGGGCCCTCCCATTTCTCAGAGAAGGGAATGGGGTGATGGGGAAGGGGCTATGTGAGAGGGGACCTTGAGGAAGAGGGGGCTACATTCGGAATGTAAAGTGAATAAATAAATAAGAAAAAAAAAGGTATAGGCCCATTACACCCCACCTAGCCAGATGTACAGTTTCTAAAACGTGTGCTGAACATAGCCTGAACCATTGTCACGATGGGTCCATAATGGCATGGAGGTTCAGGAAAACCCAGAATAAGGTGTCACTCACCAGAGCTCTCTGTAACTTCTTCAGTTTCTCCACAGGCTCAGGATTATAGCCAGGGATTTTACGCATGTCATTGTTCTTCAAAGCCAGCATTGTTTCCAACATAAACCGTACCTTAAGGGAAAAGTAATCCACGCAAACTCATCACTAACAGTCACTGATGATTGAGCCTGCTAAGAAATACATCACAGCTGAAGCAGAGGGGCACCACTTATGAGAACACTGACAGCTGGAGGCAGTCTGTGTTATCTCAGCACTGCATTCAGGGATACAGTTTTTAGAATAGTAGAGTCTCAAATCTCACCACTATCCACAGGCCTTCCCCCCTCCACTCCCACAATCTCAGCCCTGGTACGAGAGTGACCCAGTATCCTTCATGGGAAACCCTCCCTCAAGACTTAATCTAGATGCCAACTTGACTATTCAGAAGTAGGGTCATCCTCCCCTTCCAGTCTCACCTCTTTCAAACGCCAACCGCATGAAAGTTACTTCTGACTTCAAGGCTACATCCACTGCCACCATACTCACACGTGCTACTTTTGTTTCAAGAATCCTGAAGCCTTTCCCTGCTCTGGCCACTTCCCATCATTCTACACTGGGGTCAAAGTGGCCAGCAAAGTACAGGATCTGCCAACCATCTGTGTAGATCTTCCTCTACCCATGGAAAAAAACCTGGCTCCCTGGGCCCATTTGTGAGGCTTTGGACCTGGCCTATCTTCTCTCTGGCAAAGGCCCCAGGTTCCCACACTGGTGCTCTTCAATAGATCACTTTCTCCTTTCTTTTTGAGGGCCTCTCAGGTGCAGTTCTGACCCCTCACGTGAGGCGGGACCTATTTTACAGAAGGGAAACTGGCTGGTAAGACCCAAGTCTCTGATGCTCAAAAACAGTGCCACACATCTGACCCAGGCTGACACCCAAGCCTCTGGGAAGCAACTTCCGAGAGGGCAAACAAATCCATTATAATCATGAAATATGTATGAGTTCTTAATGAAGAAACCCAGAAGCTCGAAATACCCAAGATTCAACTCACAGACCACATGAAGCTCATGAAGAAGGAAGACCAAGTGGGGGTGTTTCGATCCTTCTTAGAACGAGTAACAAAATACTCAAGGGAACAAATATGGAGACAAAGTGTGGGACAGAAACTGAAGGAGGAGCTGTCTGGAGACCATTCCACCTGGGTATCCATCCCATGTGCAGTCACCAAAGGCAGATGCTGATGTGGATCCCAGGAAGTGCAAGCTGACAGGAGCCTGATATAGCTGTCTCCTTAGAGGTCTGCCAGAGTTTGACATATACAGAGGCAGAAGCTCACAGCTAACCATTGAACTGATCAAGAGGTTACCAATGTAGGAGTTAGAGTGAAGACTGTTGGAGCTGAAAGGGTTTGTGGCCCCATGAGGGGAGCAACAATACCAACCAACCAGAGCTCCAAGGGTCTAAACCACCAGCCTGGGAGCACTTAGGGAGGGACCCATGGCTCCAGCTGTTTATGTAAGGGAGGATGGCCCTGTCGGGCATAGGTGGGAGAGGAGATTCTAGGTCCCATGAAGGCATGTGGGGCAATTCGAGGGTGGGGAGGTGGGAGTGGGGGGGGGGTAGGTAGGGGCACATCTTCAGAGAAGCAGGAGGAGGGGTGATGGGTTGGGGGTTTCTGGGCAGGGTGGGGGGGAAGTGGGATAAGGGGATAACATCTGAAATGTAAATAAAATATCCAATAAAAAAAAAAATGAAGAAACAAAGTTCAAGCAGCATATGGTGGTACACACATGTAACCCAGCATTCAGACGAGGATCCTAAGTTTGAGGCTAGCCTGGGCTACATAATGAGACTCCATCTCAAAAATTCATGGAAACAAACCCCCCCCCCCCAAACCAAGGTCAGTTTGCAGACTAAGGACAAAGCCACAGTAGCAGATGAGGCAGAGGAAAACAGAGAGCATTAGGGCACAAACACTAGTGCTCAGCCAGACACTCATCTATACATGCTGTCATCTGCTCCATGGATACTCAGCAGTTCAAGCAGCACTCCTACCCTGTTCTGGTCCTGAAACTTGCTGCCTGCACCACTGGCCTGGGCCTGGGCTTCTGTGATCAGGTCCTTGAGTGACAAGGCGTCATCTTTCCTCAACGCAAAGCCCACAGTCTTCAGCATCAACAGGATCAGCTCAATGTCTTTTTCCGTAAAAGTTGCAACAAGCTTCTTTAGAATGTCAAAGATGAGGAGAGACTGGACCACGTGGAAGTTGTACAAATGGGCGATCATGGTAAAGAGGTTGTCCAGTTCTTTCCCCTCACCTCCATCTCTATAGACAGCATCAAACTTCTTCACCACAGCTTCAAGGAAGCAAGCGCCAACCTGAAGGAGACAGAAGGGACATCATCACGCTACTCTGGGACCTGCCTTAAAGACTGTAACATGAATACAGATGGGATAAGAACTCCAACAGGGGTGTTGGTAACTAAGAATGTAGCCTTCACATATGGATGAGAAGATTCTAGATAACAAATACAGTACTGAGTGCTTGCCTCAGCATACAAATCTTCTCTGTAAAGATACTTTCATTTCTTTAGAATCAACAAGAAAGTGGTTTTTAGCCAGACATTACTGTGACTCCCTGGAAAATTTTCTTTAAAAAATGTGCCAGAGATGGCTTGGCATAAAGGAGTTTGTTTCCCACCTGACAACCTGAGTTTGTAAAGATGATAAGCAGGGGAAAGCAGCAGGCCAAGAACTAGCAGAGGCCTGATGAAGTTGGACAAGGCCACTATGGCAGTCCTTTTGTTGTTCTGGAACATTCGACTTATAACTCTCATGTGTGTTTTGGGGAAGGAGGAGGCCAGGGCTTGACTCTGTGGTGGTTCTGAACAAAGGCAGTATATCCTGAAAGCAGAAACTGTAGTGACTGACCCTCCTGCTGGTAGCACTATCTTGTGACTATTTTCTTTTGTCGGACATCCAGCTGGAGATGAGTGAGGCAACTATAATGGGGAAGAAAGGGCTGCTCACATGGTGACGTGGGACAAACCGGCAGGGAAGTATCACTGGGTGTGATTTCCAGCGTTTTGTCTGGGTCTCCAGGAACTAGACAAGGGTAAGGAGGTTGCGGGCAGCTGGTCAAAACCTGGTTCAGTGTCAGTGGACATGTGCAGAGTTACTGTAAAATGCAGATTATGTATGACACACAGACAAAGGAGGACTGATGAGATCCAGTCAGCTCAGAGTTTAATGGGCAAGTCCACACAGGATTGTTAGACTGCAAAACAATGAAGCTGAAGAGTCCAGAAAGACACAGCAGACTGGCAATACTGATTTCTGGAAGCCTTAAAACTGAAGACTTGAGGCTTGATTCCTAGTTCAGGTTTTCTCATTTTAGAAAAAACTAAGACCACCCTTCCACAGCAGTATGTCATCTATGCTCATGTACTGTGTTAACAAAGACAGGATCTTCAGAGCAGGAAACATTGAGACACTACTTCAGGTATGCTTTTGGCACATAAACAGGCCAAAATTTAAATTCTATTATTTCTTTAACATTAAACATATTAGTATAACTTAGAAATATGAACAAATACCATGTTGTTAATACTGACTCTGATAAGTGAATTTCAGCACAAATCTGCAAAGGCCTGAATGTTAAGTGCTTGAGGGAAGGCACACAGTAGCTGAGAACACCTTCAGCACTTTTTTTCCTTCCATGAGTTCCTGGGAGCTTTTTCTCAGCACAGTTTAATGGAAACCAGCATCCTGAGAGCACAGTGTATCTGGCGCAAGCTTTAGAGAGTGCCATTAGCTAAAGTACTATAATGACTTCCCCTTGAACAAGTCATCTCATTGTCCTTCATGCTATTAGCAAAGGTTTCAATGGGAAGTAGGACCAATAATTTCAGGTTTTCAAATCAAGTAAATTCCTGATGTGCTGTGGTGGTCACATCTATGACTTTTAAAATAACTCACTGAAATGCCGTTTACATTAAAATCACTTTGATTAAGTCTGCTGAACTGTCCTAGTGTGGTACAGGATGGGGGAAGTATCACAGCAGCCACAGAACAGTGTCAATTACTGTGATTATGGGGCACAAGGAAAGCTGCCCAGGGCATCCATTACGTTTTGTAATGGCAAGAAAATGGACTCAGACATTCACATGTAAAAATAAGCATAGTCCTTGGCGGGGCAGAGGGGGGAGATGACCACAGAAGCACAATTTCTGAGGTAGCCAGGGCAGATCTTACACAGCAGGGCTTCTGAGGTAGTTGGGCCACTCTGTCCTTTGTCCTCAGCTTCCCAAGTCTTTCACTTCTCAGCCTCACTGACTTCAGGCTGGAATATCATTACTGATGACATAGTTAGGGTATGGAGAAAAGGTGCAGGTGTACCTCTATTCCGACCGTGTGGTGGAGGATGCTGACTAGGAAGACATGCTCCATCATCAATCTGCTGGGCATGGCTGAGGCAGTGACACAGGCATCCATGAGAGCAGCTGTCAGGGTGTCGTTCATGTGCTTCCTGCTGTGGGTCATGTACAGCTCCTCTAGCTGCCCACTTATAGAAGCCATGTTTGGCTCACTCAGCCTGCAGCGGAATGTGAGCAAAGTGTTACCCTCACATTCTATTTCATGTGCATTTCGGAACCATAAACTACTCTGATTTAGCCACAAAAACCTGGTGCATACTGCTCATAACACACTCTAGAATCCTGAAATACCAGTTATCTTTTACATAATAACTGAAATAATGGCAGCTGTCTTTTAGTAGAGCACAGCCACTGAAGCATACCCCGGGCTCCTCCCTCAGTCTGTACATATGCCCACAGACTGTCGGATCGAATATCCCGTAGAGACAGTGATCATTCCTAGGTGGTGAGTTAGGAAAAAACCAAGAACTTGTTTCATCTCTTAGATGACAAACACTCAGTTCCTAAATCCATTGTGTACCTCTGCTTAAAACTGAACCTGCTGTCAAAACAACAGGTAATGGCAAAGTCACAGGATATCACGGGCTTCAATGAAAATGAAATAAAAAGCACAGAGGAGAGAAAAGAGATGTGACAGAACAGCCATGCGTCTTGATATTGGTAGCAGTCACCTAAATCTTCCGGCGACAAAACTGCATACAATCAGTCTCCATCTCTCTCTTCCTTACGAGTCCTGGGATTACAGGCAAGTACCACCACTTCTAGCTTATGTGGTCTGGGAAGCAAGGGAGGGCTTCAGGCTTTGTGCATGTTAAATGAATCTCTCTCTCTCTCTCTCTCTCTCTTTCTCTCTCTCTCCCCCCCCCCCCCCTCTCTGTTTTGCTTTTAACTGTAGTCTAGCCTGAGAGTGATCCCTCTAAGGACCTCCCAACACTTTGTAATTCCCAGTGACCTACAATAACAAGTTAAGCAACAACAACAAAAAGAATATATATTTGAGCCGGGCGGTGGTGGCGCACGCCTTTAATCCCAGCACTCGGGAGGCAGAGGCAGGCGGATTTCTGAGTTCGAGGCCAGCCTGGTCTACAGAGTGAGTTCCAGGACAGCCCGGGCTATACAGAGAAACCCTGTCTCGAAAAACCAAAAAAAAAAAAAAAAAAGAATATATATTTGAAATCGTACAGAATTGGATAAGGTGCTGGAGGCCAAGACAGTGGTCATCTTTGGGGCTTGGGAGAGGGACCTGAGCAAGGCTGAGTGGGGGACATGACAGAAGTGGAGAAGGCTTGAGATAAGTGATTCCAATTCATCTGTGAAGACTAGAGAAACAACGAGGAAAGGTAAGTGACAAATTCCCACCCGTGTGGCTTCCAATGAACCTTCTCGTGCTTTATTCTTTTCTTTTTTTTTTTTTTTCTGGTTTTTCGAGACAGGGTTTCTCTGTATATCCCTGGCGGCTGTCCTGGAACTCACTCTGTAGACTAGGCTGGCCTCAAACTCAGAAATCCGCCTGCCTCTGCCTCCCAAGTGCTGCTTTATTCTTAAAATGGACAATTAAACAAAACCACAGATGGTGACTCAAGGGCTGAGGACCCTGTTTACCACTAGATGAATTCACTTCTGCAGGCCAGGCCCACAGACCTTAGCCAGGCGGCTCCTAGGAGCACACAGAGGCATGCCCTGTTCCTTTCTGCTTCTCAGAATGACCCTGTGGACTGTCTTCAAACACATAAAGGGCAGTATCAAATGGCTGAGCACGCGACCTCTTCGAGTTTAAGTCCAGTTATGTCACACCAAGAACAAGGATCAAAAGCATTCATTGTGTAGCCCTAGTCCCCTCACTTGCTTTCCACACAGTTCCTACAGCTACGTGATAGTACGTCATATTTTTGAGGTTACCTGTTAATTAGGCCTTTAACATGTTTCTTGAGCCTGTCTAGCTCTTCTTTCTTGTGGACATCTATTGTCTCCTCACTCCTCAATCGAGGAGGGATGTACTTTTCACCACTTTCAACACAGTGACTCTCCTTGAAAAACAGGAATAAAATTGCAAACAAAAATTTACAGTGGAAAATCCGGTATTGGTTGTTGTTACTTACTCCAAATTCCAAACTCATGAGAACTTGGAGCCGCTATCATTACAGGACACTGACTGCTATTTAACGAAGTGAAGCTCTGAAGGCCTAGGATGGCCTGGGTTAGCCTGTCCCTCAACAGGCTGTGCTTGCCACTGTGTTAGTGCTAATACTGTTCTGTACTCTGCCCCCTCAGTCCATTTGGAATGACAACCCAGAGGGCCTACAGGTTGTTTGTGCCATACCTGATGTTCTATGTCATCTTCGGAAGAACTTTCCCTCTTTTCTACAACTTCGGCAAAACGCACTCTCTTACTCCCTTTATTTCCTCGCGTCTCACTCTCTGCTTCTCCTTCCCCTTGCGAATTGACATCTTCCGGATCCTCCTCCTGCTGCACTTGCCAGTCTGGGTCCTCCTCACTTTCTTCAGAATAGCTCTCTAGGTCACTCTCCGAGACTGTCTGTCCAGGTTCCGCCTTTTCCTCCTCCTCTTCCTCGCTGCTTTCGTACAGGCCGCCGCTTTTCCCACATTCCAGGGCCCCCAGGATGTAGTCCAGCCCGTCGCGCGCGAAGCTGAGCGGCACCGAGCTACCGTCGCCCTTCTTCTTACGCTTGTGGAGGCCGAGGCATCGTTCCAGCTTTCGGATCTCTCGGTCCTCCTCCTCGTTGGCCTCTAGAAGTGCTCGCTTACGGGCAGTGGCGGTGGCGGGACTAGGCTTTCCCGGAGCACCTTTAGCCTTGGCCTGAGCTGAAGTCGCCTTGGAGTAGGGACTCTTGGCCTTAGGCTGGGTCGCCGAGGCTTTGGCGTTAGCGGAGGGAGCACTGGCCTTGGCTGGGGTTGCTGTGGCTTTGGCGGGGGTCGGTCTCATCTCAGCAGGCGGTCGACTCTCCGGGCTACCGTCGAGGCGTACACTCCCGTCCTGGTCCCCTGGCGCGGAGCCTACTGTCCTCTGCAGGCGCCGCGCTTTCCTCAGGTGTCGCTTCTCCTTACGAAGCTCCTTGCGGCTCTTACGACCTCCGGGCCGGGAGCCCGCCACAGCGCTGCGGCTCTCGGAGGCTTCGCTCTCGGAGGTAGCACGCACGAAGTCCTTCACGGCCAGCCGCAGCCGTTTCAAGGGTCCCTGCCCGCCGCCCGGACGGCGACGGAAGCCACTGCGCTTCATGCGAGCCATGCCCGGGCGCTCTAAACCACAGCCCGCAGGTCCCCAGTCTACACGCGCCGTTAACTTCCGGGATGTTCCGCGACATCACTTCCGGCAGGGGAGGGACTTCCGGACGCGCGCTTCGGTGGCTTAAAAAGTCGAGACTGGTGGCAGGTTCCCTCTGCTGGTCGGAGGGCTGCAGTCACAGGCAGTAATAGAGTCCTTTAAAATCTGAAGCCTCTTGTACTTTGTTTTGGGGTGACCTGAGGAAATCACCCTAGGTATGGCTGTACCATAAATTTTCACACATCCTTGCATTTTTCGTGCATGAGTGTGTACCCAAGGGAAGGCAGTCAATGCTCGCTCTGTCTCTCTCTGTCTCTCTCCCCCCTCTCTCTGTCTCCCTCTCTCTGTCTCTCTCTCTGTCTCTCTCTCTCTGTCTTTGAGATAGTTTCTCAGTCTGTAGCCCAGGCTGACCTTGAACTCTCGGGCTCAAACACTCCTCAGCAGAGTGTCCCAACTCAAGGCCAACAGCATTGCCAACATTTTTATATTAGAAATGATGATGTAATAAATATCTTTGAATAAAGAGAATTTTATGTTTTAAGGAGCAGAACCTGAAGGCCACATTTTAAGAAGGGTGATTTCTGAAGAGACTGTCTTTTTGTAAAATGAATGTGACGATACTGCTGACCTTATAGGGTATGAGTGGAGATGAGGTGGGGTAGTGGGTGTGGAGAACTTAGAACAATGCTTGATCCATGCTGAAGACATGTCCATAGAGTTCTGAGCCCACAAGGTTACTGTAATGACTATTTGAAATAGTGCAGCTCATGTCTGTGTTGCACAGTTTGTACATATAGGGAAGGTACAGCCTCAGTGTCTTCACCAGTGATATCAAAGGAAGAGAGTGAGTTCTGTAGAATCCCATGTGATCCCAAGAAAATGGCTTGAAGGGAGTTGGGAAAAGGGTGCTGACTAGAGTGGGAGGATAGATCCTGTTTGGAAGAGGATGAAGTGTGGTGGTTGCTGTACTGGATGGTCTTTTGTAAACTTGACATAAGCCTGGGTCGTCTGGGTGAAGGGAACATCTATAGAGAAAACCTTCATCAGACTGGCCTGTAGGCAAATCTTTAAGGCGTGTTGTTGTTGTTATTAATTATTGGTTTAGGAAGGTCTGTCCCACTGTGGGTAGTACCACTCCTGCCCAAGTGATGGGGGAGAAGTATAGGAAGTATCGGTGTTACAGAGTTTGTGACTCCTGGGAAAAGGCCATGGACCCAATCAAATTAGATCTATTGATCATTTGCTAGCAGGGTGAACATCTATGAGCCATATTTGAAATTGCTTTGAAGAATGAGTATGAGAAAGGTTTTTTTTTTTAAAGGCAAAAACCATAAGAAGACCTTCAATATTTATGAAAGCAAGCAAAAACTGGACTGTTCTCTTGAGTTAAGTGGTAAAGACAACTCAAAACCATCTTTAGGTATTTGTGTAAGAAGTTACGCCGGACAGTGGTGGCGCACACCTTTAATCCCAGCACTTGGGAGGCAGAGGTAAATGGATTTCTGAGTTCGAGGCCAGCCTGGTCTACAGAGTGAGTTCCAGGACAGCCAGAAGAACTACACAGAGAAACCCTATCTCGAAAAACCAAAAAAAAAAAAAAAAAAAAAGAGAGAAGTTAGTGAGATCATAACAAATAGATAGTCATGGCTGTACATTTTTTTGGGTGGGATTTGGGGTGTGTCACAGAGTCAGGGCTACCAGGAACTTACCATCCAGGGAATGAAGTCACAGACAAATGGCCAGTGGATACCAAGATGGATGCCTGCATAAAAGTGGCGTTTCTTTAGCCATCACATAGAAATGGTAGCTGAACAGAGCCTGAGAGAGATCCAGCAAACAGTGTTCCTCCACTGTTTCTGCTTCAGTCCTACCTCCAGGTTCCTTACTTTGAGTTCTTGCCCTGATTTCCCTCAAAAGTGGACTTGATGTGAAAATGTAAGGTAAATAAAACTTTCCTCCTTAGTTGCTTTTTGATCATAGTGTTTATCACAGTTACAGAAAGCAAACTATCATGGTTACTTTTCTTTGTCAGTCTGACAGGACTTATGATCACCGGAGACAGCGAGGCTCTTTTTTAGTTTGTCCATGGGGCCATATCCAGCTGGTTAACAGATGAGCAAATACCCATCCCAGATGTGCTTGCATTAATTATCTCATGGGCGGGGTCCTGATGAAATGAAAGGGAAGCCGGGCAGTGGTGGCACACACCTTTAATCCCAGCACTTGGGAGGCAGAGGCAGGCGGATTTCTGAGTTCGAGGCCAGCCTGGTCTACAGAGTGAGTTCCAGGACAGCCAGGGCTATACAGAGAAACTCTCTCTTGAAAAAACCAAAAAAAAAAGAAAGAAAGAAGGAAAGAAAGAAAGAAAGAAAGAAAGAAAGAAAGAAAGGAAGGAAGGAAGGAAGGAAGGAAAGGGAAAAGGAGAAAGCCACGGGTCACTGGAATTGCCCTTGTCTCTGCTGCCTGGGCAATTGCAGTAGCCATGTGAACATTCTATAACACATGTCCTGTTGACATCATCTGAACCACTCTTCCAGGCCTTTCTTGCCATGATGGACAAAGACCATCTGGATGATCCAAAATGAGTGTTGTTGTTGTCGTCTGTCATCATTGTCTCCTCCTCCTCCTCCTCCTCCTCCTCCTCCTCCTCCTCCTTCTTCATTTAATGTACATGAGTACACTGTAGCTTTCTTCAAACACAGCAGAGGAGGGCATCAGATCCCATTACAGGTGGTTGCGAGCCACTATGTGGTTGCTGGGAATTGGACATCTGGAAGACTAGTCAGTACTCTTAACCTCTGAGCCATCTCTCCAGCCCCAAGTGTGTTCTTCTATAACTTGCTTCTGTCAGGCATTCTGCCACAGAGACACAAAAGCGATAAATATAGCCTGTTGAGAGACAGAGGGTCTGTCTGAAGAAGGGATGTCCTGGCTAGTTTTGTGTCAACTTGACACAAGCTAGAGTCAACTGAAAGGAGGAAGCCTCAATTGAGAAAATGTCTTCATAAGATCCAGCTGTAGGGCATTTTCTTTATTAGTGTTTGATGGAGGAGGGTCCAGTCCATTGTGGGTACTATCATCTCTGGGCTGGTTCTATAAAAAAAGCAGGCTAAGCAAGCCATGATGAACAAGCAAGCCAATACACAACTCCCATCCAGGGCCTGTGCATCAGCTCCTGCCTCAAGCTCTGCTTGAGTTCCTGTCCTGACTTTGTTCAGTTGACTATGAGGATATGGAAGTGTATGCCAAATAAACTCTTTCCACACCAACTTGTCATGGCATTTCAATAGTAACCCTAACTAACACAAAGGGCATGGGGGCCCTGTCTGAAGAAACATAACACGGAGAACTTGTCCAGAGAGGAGTTAGATATAAGTTTCACAAAGAGGAAGAAGATGCTGGCTCTGTTTGGAGAAGTTAGATGGAGGACTTTCCTCTGATCAGGACCAAAATAATGGATGCTCTGGTTCACCCAATGTGGCATGACTTAGAATTTTGTCATTGTCTTTACATCCTGAGGTATCACTTTATTTATTTATTTATTTATTTATTTATTTATTGGTTTTTGGGTTTTTTTTTGTTTTTTTTTTTTTGGGGGGGTTTTTTTATTTTGTTTTTTTTCAAGACAGGGTTTCTCTGTGTAGCCCTGGCTGTCCTGGAACTCACTCTGTAGACCAGGCTAGCCTCGAACTCTCGAACTCAGAAATCCGCCTGCCTCTGCCTCCCAAGTGCTGGGATTAAAGGCGTGCGCCACCACCGCCCGGCTGAGGTATCACTTTAAACATTGTTCTTACCTTATGTGGTCAAGCTAGCTATGTGGCGCCTCACTGGCTTCTTGGAGAAGGATGATGATGATGAGGAGGAGGAGGATGAGGAGGAGGAGGAGGAGGAAGAAGAGGAGGAGGAGGAAGAGGGGGAGGAGGATGGAAGGAAGGTAAGTTTGGAAGAGGTTGTAGCTTATAATGGAGGAGGCTAGAGCATTCTTCTGAAAAAGCCAGACGTGGCCAATTTTCAAAGACGTTTTCTTGATACCCTAAGGTGTTGAAACGATTTTCACGCACAGTGTGTTGGTACAGATGTAGGTTAGGTTTGTATCAGGAAACAGTGAGGATCACTTCGCTGAAGCGGAGGGAGGCAGGCACTAGGCAGGAGGACCACAAGACTGGGACCAGAGCACCTGACTCCCTTGGTCACTCCCCTGTTTCAGATCTTTAGTAGCTTTGTCTCTAATCTACAAAATGAAGTGTCAAGTTGGAATGAAAAATGAATTCCTGTCAGCCTTGAAGCTCCAATGTGTTAGGCAGGGTGCCACCATCCTCTGCTTCCCCAGTCTTAGTCTTCTAGCTTCTCCACGTGTGTCCCAACCCGTGCTCCTACTAGCAGTCCTGCTGTGCTTCTTTGTGATTGGCTATCTCCATGCCACAGTCCGCAGAGAGGAAAGCTCTGATTCAGTTTTGCTCAGCTTCTACGGTGCAGCCATCCCCACTCCTGGAACACAGGTGCCATTGAGGTATTTGCTGTGCAAGTGTCCTTGTGGGATGGTAGTACATTTTTTGGGTATAAGCCTAGGAGTGATATGGCTGGGTCTTGAGGTAGAACGGTTCCCAGTTTTCTGAGAAACTGCCACATTGATTTCCGTAGTGGTTGTACAAGTTTGAATTTCTACCAGCAATGCTCAACATCCTCACCAGTATGTGCTGTCCCTTGAGTTTTTGATGTTAGCCATTCTGATGGGTACAAGGTGGAATTTCAGAGTCGTTTTGAGTTGCCTTTCCCTGATGACTAAGGACATTGAACATTTAAGTGCATCTTGGCCATTAGAGATTCCTCTGTTAAAAATTCTCTGTTCAGACCTGCATCCCATTTTTAAATTGGGTTACTTGGGTTGTTAGTGTCTAATCTCTTGAGTCTGTTACATATTTTTGGATACTAGCCGTCTGTTGGATGTAGAGTTGGTGAAGATCTTTTGCTAACCGATAGGCTGTCCTTTTGTCCTGTTGTCCTTTGCCTTACTGAAGATTTTCAGTTTCAAGAGGTCCC